TTGAGAAATGGTGCTTAAAAAACAAAAATTGCCTACTAGTATGCTAATTGGTATTGAGGTGTTAACTACTTTAGACTCTCTCAGTTGACAAAGCAAAGGATACATTTATATATTTTGACCTTTGCATATACATATATAGACCTATGCTCTACAGATATAACTGTAGATGCATTTTAAAATATGAATTTATATGCATACCTCTGATTCTAATCCAGCACCATGAGATTCACTTTGACCAAACACTTTTTCTCCACCAGAGAGCACGACCACTGGATCTCATTATCTGCAACACAGGTAACATATTGATTTGCTCAGTTCTAATATAATATAGAGTAGAATTGAAAATCCACATACATACCTGACGAAATATTTTAGTAGATTACTATGTATATTATTGTGTTTAGCTTTCATTGTCTTTATCCAATAAATATTGTTTACCACGATTATTTAACTTTTACGTTCTTCAATCCCTTCAGTGTTAAAATGTTATTATTTTTATTATACAGTTGATTCAGTAGCTAGCCTTGTATTTAATTTTTAATTTCCTCATTCCTTTGCGTGTAGTTTATTTAATAATTTATTTTGCCAGTATATAAAACATTACTATGGTTGTATGAGTTAGTCTATATAAAAAAATTTTACTCAAAAAAAAAAAAGCACTGTTCTCATTTCTGCTACCCTCTTCCCATATTGCATCTACTTTCCATCTCTTTCTTCCTTATCCTTCTCCTATAGATGAGCAATCTTGATTTTTGGCCTTCCTTTCCTGTATTTCTTCTGCACAAATGAGTAGAAAATTGCTTTCCTATGTTTCTTCTGTTCCATACAAAGGGAGATATTCTTTCCTACTTTGCTTTATCAGTTAAACATATTTCTTGGAATTTATTCCCTATCAGCCCATAAAGATTTTCAGTCATCTTCTTCCTTCTCTTTATCCTCCTCTTCTTTCTTTTTGAGACAGAGTCTGGCTAAATTGCCCAGGCTGGCCTCAAACCCCAAATCATCCTGTCTCAGCCTCTCTATTAGCTCTGATGACAGGCAAGTGTCCCCACACCAAGGCCTCAGTTATTCTCACAGCTGCATATTATGCCATTGAGTGAATGTGCCTTAATTTATTCAACCACTGTCTTATATATCAACATTAAAGTTGTTTCCAATGTTCTACAATTCCAAACAATTCTGGAATGGGTAACCTGGAGCATGCAACCCACAGTTTTAGATGTTGAAATAAATAAAAAGAAAAACAATGTCACAGATAAACTACTTATCCAATGCAAAACACATTTACCCCAAACTCTGTCTTTAATAAACAAAAGAGCCAAGGTAATATCATAGTAAGATGGCAAAGTCCAGAATTAAGTACTTGAGGCCTAAAGGAACCAAGCAAAAAGCTCCCTTTCTGTTCAATTTTTCTAAAAATCACATTTTTCCTCTTAGCCCAGATGCTATCCCATCCAAATCACTCTGGGCTTCTTAGAGGTTTAAAAATTGTCAATAGTAGGACAAAACATTTTTAGCTCACTAAAGAATAGCACAGTTAACAATATTTTATTAATACAAAAGCTAAAAAAAATTATATAAGGAGGGTGCATTAGCCAGTCTGGACACAAAAAACTGCGTAGTAAGCAATGCCCTTTGGTTGGGGCGGGAGGGTCTGGTTTTAAAAAAAAAAGATTTGTATATTTAACAAATTACACACATTGCGCTCTGTTAGTTTATATTCTGTTCTAATTCATTAAGAAAGAAAAATTGTGTCTTTGCACTATTACATTAATTTCATAATTTTTAATCATTGTTAAAGACCTGCAGTCCGAAAAACACTGGTTAACAAGAACATATGCATGCCAGTTAGAGCACTGTGAGGGAAATCTGGGATGTACCTCTCTCAGGTGAATTCCTTAACCTTTGCAAGTCTGTTTCCACCCATTGAAAATGATGATACTATATATAGCTGATTAGTATATTGACTGTGTCCAGGTAACCCACAGTACAGTAGTAAAGAAACAGAAGGTATAATTATTAAACTGGATGAAGTTAGGTAAGGCTTTGCTACACTAAGGAAGTCAAATTAGACCATTGGCACTCAAGGTTCAGTCAACCCTGTGCAGATGGAAAATAAACACAGAATGCTTAACTTTGCTCTTCTTTCTCCTTCTTGAGCCCACTAAAGTGGCCAGTCATGTGTGAATCTAAGGAAGTTAGAATTGGATTGCTGCTGCCCCCATCCTCCCAACATGTGGTCACACCCAGCATGGATGTCTCCAGCAGTTTCAGTCAGGCCAGGAAATCCAGGGAAGCACTCACGTGACAGGAAATACTTTTGCCCCGCCAATAACTGCAATGAGAGCAGCAATCCTTCTCAGATTTGACTGCCCATAATACTAGCAAGAGAAGCTTGCTAAATGTTCAGATTCTGAGGACACACTGGAGATTTATTAGATTGAATTCCTTGGAGAAATGCTTTGGAAGATACTGTAAATGTATAGATAAAGATGGATCTGTTACAGAATTTCTGATATAGCCAGCCTAGTAGGCAGATCAGTGAGGAAGGGAAGCCTTTTGGTATATCATCTATTTCATCACGTTAAAGTGTCAAGTAAATATTTGATTCGATAATAAGCCAAACATCAATGACTTCTTTGTCAGCCAATAGGTTTATTCATCAGCCAGACATGTGGTGGCACATGCCTGTAATCCCAGCACTCTGGAGGTTGAAGTAGAGGGACTGAGGGTAGTTCAAAGCCAAGCTACATAGTAAACTCAAAATTAGTCTGAACTACACAGTGATCCCATCTCAAAAAAAAAATAGTTTTATTCACCAGAAAATATACTGTGCCATAAAGGACACATAGAGATGACTTGAAAGATCAAAGAATTTAGAGAGTTTCAGTCCCTCTCAATTGGAAACAGTGAGAAAGTAGACTAAAGAAAGGCATTAAGAACAAACTTCAATGTGTTGTAGAAAGTTCTATTCACATCATTAGTTGTCATTAACAGTGAGTATAAGCCCAGCATTATGTAATCAAATGCCCATATACTGACAGTTTCTCTAGTCTGTTCTTGAATTTTTCCCACTTTCTTTTTATTTTAACAAATTTTAAAGGGCATATGTATTTTGCACTACCATGCACTAATTAAACTGAACATATTAGCTTGGCATGGTGGTAGACACTTATAATTCCAGAACTCTGGGAGGTTGAAGCAGGAGGATGGCAAGTTTTATCCCATCCTGAGCAACTTATCTTAGTGACATCCAATCTCAAAATTTTAAAAATGCACTTAAGATGCTGTTCAGTGTAAAGGCCATTGGTTCAATCACCAGCACCCTCTGCAAATTGAAAATATTCACAAATCAAGGCTTAAAAAATACTGATAGAGTACATCATTTTACCCCAAATGGAGCATTAATTTAAACAAGGCTACATTATTTTTAAAATATTTCATTAATGTAGCATAAAAGTTCTATATTCTCTTTATCTCAGTAGGTGGGTTTATGTGTGTGGAAAAGATTTGGGGAGCTAACACTTAAAATGTTGTCCAGTGTCATTTTACAACTAATCATATCCATAAAATAGTATCATATCATCTTAGAGCACTGTACAATATTATATTTTGTCCTGTAGTGGTGGCTTGCAGTTTTTAAAAGTCAAAATATTCCCAGAAATAATTCTTTTTGTGGGGCTTTCATTGTCAATTTACACTTTTCCTTGGTTGGACAACTAGTTTAAACCCACTTTGTCAGTACTTTGCAAAGGTACCTTCAGGAGACAAAGACGTAACATCTCAACGCTGCTTCTGAGATTGAAATTTTAACTTGTCATTCAATCCCTGCCTGTTACTTATTTTGTTTTTCAAGGAGCCCTAGGAAGCATTAGGCCATAATCTTCATGACGATTGAAACCATATATGTTGGGTAGGCTAGTCATTCATCAACTATTCAGTAATAACAGGGTCTGAGTTTCTTTAACAATGGGATTAGTAATGTTCCAATCCACACTTCTCGTTTATTTTTCTCTTATGATCAATGTTTGGATTCCAGTTCTCATTAGTATATAATAATTTCATCCTGAAACACATGCTTAAAAAAACAGAAACGCTGTAGACAAATACTTCAAAGGAAAGTGCACCTCTGCTTCCAGGGACTTTATGGACATCATATGTGCTTTATTCGAAAATTAATCCTTTTTCATCTCTATACCCTGAGTATGTTTCAGACTTCTCTTACTTCCCAAAAATCCTGAATTCAAGGTATCTCAGCTCATGGAACAGTAGTCCAGAGGAAAGAGAAGCAACAGCCCCGCCCCCAACCCTTGGGAGCAGAAAGGAGAAGAATTTTCCTAAGGAATTATTGTAAAACTCAGGTGCTGTAGAAGGAAATAAAACCATAGTTGCTTAGACTGATGTCCCAGGGGTCCAAAATTGAACCTCAAATGGGCAATAATTTGTGTGGCATTAAACTAAACCAGTTTGATGAACTCAAATGCCCTCGGCTCAATAGGCAGGACTCTCCCAGGAGCTTGTGTTACTTCCCTCACTTAAGTGAAGATTTGTAATAAAAATCTTAATGCCAGTGGCATGTTTTTTGGATATACTAGAAGCTAACCACTTGGAGAATCATGTTTGAGAGGTCAGAAAACTCTACAGTTAAAGATCAGTTTATAATTTACGAAGAAAATAGAAAGTTTTGTTTCTCTGAGTTGAAATTTGCCGAGCACGGCAGGAAATATTACTAGTTTTTGGCAAAAGGTTCAGTGCTTTCCTCATTATTTCAGATCTGCATGAAGCCTGAGACTTCAGGGATCATTATCTGAGAAAAATCAAGCAATTCAATGTAGAGAATTTTGATATTTTTGGCTTTTTTTGAGGTGTAACAAACACAACTCGGGATCGGAGAGGACACTCTGCGGCTGCCAGCGAGGCGGGCTGGACAGCGCACCAATCACGGCGCAGCTCCGCCCTATATAAACGGGCGGGCGCAGCGCCGCGGCCGAGTCCCGATCAGTGCCTCTGCTTCCGGCTCGAGTTCTTTCCCCACGCCGCCTTCAGCATGTCCGAGACTGCGCCCGCTGCGCCCGCTGCTCCGGCCCCCGCCGAAAAGACGCCTGTGAAGAAAAAGGCGCGCAAGCCAGCAGGTGCCGCGAAGCGCAAAACGACCGGGCCCCCGGTGTCCGAGCTGATCACCAAGGCCGTGGCCGCCTCCAAGGAGCGCAGCGGGGTGTCGCTGGCCGCGCTTAAGAAGGCGCTGGCGGCCGCTGGCTACGACGTGGAGAAGAACAACAGCCGCATCAAGCTGGGGCTCAAAAGCCTGGTGAGCAAAGGTACCCTGGTGCAGACCAAGGGCACTGGCGCCTCTGGTTCCTTCAAACTCAACAAGAAGGCAGCTTCTGGGGAGGCCAAGCCCAAGGCCAAGAAGGCGGGCTCGGCCAAACCCAAGAAGCCCACGGGGGCCGCCAAAAAACCCAAGAAGGCTGCGGGCGCGGCTGCCCCCAAAAAGAGCGCGAAGAAGACCCCCAAGAAGGCGAAGAAGCCTGCTGCGGCTGCTGGCGCCAAGAAGGTGGCCAAGAGCCCCAAGAAGGCAAAAGCGGCCAAGCCCAAGAAAGCCCCCAAGAGTCCAGCGAAGGCCAAAGCGGTGAAGCCCAAGGCGGCCAAACCAAAGACCGCCAAGCCCAAGGCTACCAAACCCAAGAAGGCGGCGGCCAAGAAGAAATAAAGTTCCTTTGGCCAGCTGCTCAGAAGTTCCACACAACCCAAAGGCTCTTTTCAGAGCCACCCACTGATTTCAGGAAGAGAGCTGTTGCACATTTTGGGGGCGTGGCCACTACGCGTGCGCCGTGGGGTAGAGTGGCTCCGGGAGGGCGGGGTCGACAGCCGCGCGCTTCGCTAAACACACTAACGCAGCCGGGGGAGAATTACTAGGGGCGTCCCCTGCGTCAGGGTTGAGGTCTGCGGAGTACAAGAGTAGGATTTACACAGCTAACCTTAAGGCTTGGTAGCTTCGCGGAAGTTATTCCTACTACTTCCTAGAGGTGTGCATTTCCACTCTGCTTTCAGATCTGGAGGCGTGGCCTGTAAAAACAACCGTAATTTGGGGGTACAAAATTTACGAAATGTGAACTCTTAGCATCAAAGCGGCCAAGGCATTCTTAACTAAATTTGGAATAGTAAGCTGTAAGGCTTCAGGTTAGCAGTTTGCTGTCCTCGCACAGAATTCTCCTTTGCCGACTAGGTGATTTCACTTAGCCACAAATAAAAATGTGACCGATCACCAAAAGTGCCCAAGTGCTCTAAGAACTAGCGTCACTGCTTGGAGAGGACTATTTATAGCAGCTTTGGGGAGCCTAGTTAGAGCTTGCTGATTGGGCAAAAGTGAAATTACAAAATAGCCAATGAAAAAGTAGACCTTTAAATGTCGTTTACAATCGCATTTGTGACGACATTCTAAAATTAATCCAATCGTAGACGAAATATTACTAACCTCATTTGAATACCGCATCTATAAATGAGTGTGTCCTAGCTGGCGGGGGAGAGGCGAGTGATTCGCCAGATATAAGCTGTAGTGTAGTGATTCCTTTTTTTTTTAAGCACTAAAATGCCTGAACCCACGAAGGTCTCCCAGGCCCCGAAGAAGGGCTCGAAGAAGGCGGTGACCAAGGCGCAGAAGAAGGACGGCAAGAAGCTCAAGCGCAGCCGCAAGGAGAGCTACTCCGTCTACGTGTACAAGGTGCTCAAGCAGGTCCACCCCGACACCGGCATCTCGTCCAAGGCCATGGGCATCATGAACTCCTTCGTCAACGACATCTTCGAGCGCATCGCCGGCGAGGCGTCGCGCCTGGCGCGTTACAACAAGCGCTCGACCATCACGTCGCGGGAGATCCAGACGGCCGTGCGGCTGCTGCTGCCAGGCGAGCTGGCCAAGCACGCCGTGTCCGAGGGCACCAAGGCCGTCACCAAGTACACCAGCTCCAAATGAACTTGGCAAGTAAGCTGTCTTTACACCTAAGTCCAAAGACTTAAGATCTATGCATGATTTCGATCCATGAGTTGTAATTTTTTCACTCGGAGGAATTTTTTTCTTCATTGCATACTTAAAACTTAGTTAGCAACCTTTAATGTTTCATCATTCCCGCATACAAAATACTTGAAAAGTACAGGAAATAACTATTAGAAGTTGTCTACTCCCTACGGGCCCGTACAAGTTAGTGTTAACTATCACGTAAATATATAACCAATATGAGCTGCAAATGGCATTCTAAATTTGTAGCTCATCGTGTTCTTATACAGGTCTCAAGTTTTTCTTGATCTGAGTCGATGACGACTACTTACAGTGAGCACAAAAGACTGTGCTCTGGCAACTTCTATCTGCTCAGAGCTGGCATTTTCTTTTACTTTTTTCATCTTTACCATTTAGATGTGTGGTATTAAAACGTGACTGAAGACAATGTGAGATTTCACTAAAATAAGAAAAACTGCTGTCTCGCTTTGCTGCCCAGCGGATTTCCAGGCAAGGCTATGATATGCAAAAGGGCAGGCAGAGGCAATTATTTTGTATCCAAAAGGCCTGGAGGAACAGAGAAAGGGAAACAACCTTTGAGACACTTGCGAGTTGTACGTTACTGTGGTTTTCTAAGAAAGTTACTTAGTTTATGGTCCTTTTGCGCCCTTCAGCTCACAAATTCCTCACAAATCCCCACAGCGAAAATTTTTGTTTGAATAGAGCAAGTCCACACTCCGTGAAACGTGGAAGTATGAGCAGAAAGAGCAATTTAGAGAAATACAAATGAAAACAACACTGAGATTCCATCTTACTCTAGAAAGAATAGCTATCATCAAGAAATCAGATAGCAAGTGCTAGTGAGTCAGGTGAGAAACTAAACTAATACCATTATGGAATTTAGGATGCATACTCCTCAAAACACTAAAATAAATTCATACGACCCAGCTATCTCCATCCTAGGTATCTTCCCTAAAAAGCATGTATCATATTACAGCACAATTCACAATAGGTAAAACTTGGAAGCAGCCTATATGTCCATGAACATATGAATGGATAAAGAAAATGTATTTATACACAATGGAGTACTACTTTGCCATAATGAGGGATAAACTTGAATCATTTGTGGGAAAATGAATGTTTCTCAAGAACTTTAAATGAAATAAATCAGACACACAAGCTAAAAAATATTGTGTGCTTTCTCTTATATGGGAAGTCCAAAATATAAATAAAGAGCAAAATAAAAGATAATAGGAAAGAAAAGATGGTGGGAGGGATGGTAGGGAAAAGTGTAGATGGGAAGGGAACATAAGAATTGAGATGTCTTATATACCTGTACCAATTGCTTATGAGGTTGAGATGTCTTGCATACATGTACCAACTGCTTATGAGGAATGTAATCATTATGTGCTGAAAATATGTACAATAAAAATTTGTAAAGAAAAATAGAAAAATGAAATGAGCAACTGACAATGGAAACAAGGAATAAAAAACAAAACAGACCTAGAATGACTCACTTTAGTAATCTGTGTAAACATAAAAAGTATATAGAAAGACTAAACACTACAAACATCAGAATTTTAAGAGAACCAAACAAGAATCTAGACAAGTTTTTATAATTAGCTCTATAAATGAAAAACTGATTTTCATATGCTTGTACCTTCTGCTCCATATTGACTGGCATCAGATTAAAGGACTTTGCAATGATACAAGTGTGAGAATATTTAAGCAGTTAATTATTTACATATATTTTGTATCTAGTGAACTTTACCAAATTGTTAATTCTACTACTTAATACATTGCCTTGATTTTATTGCTTAAGCTATTAATATTAACAAATGTTATTCTTTCTAGTAACTATTTGCTTTTATTATCTTATGTTAACTACAATTATATGCCATATTAGAAATGCTAGCAGTCATTCTTGTCTTTTTTCCTTATTTCCATAGAAATGGCTTTTGTCGTTTGTGATTGTGTGTATGTGTTTAGTATTTGTGTTGATGGGGTCTTCTTCCTAGTTTGTTTTAAAATTTTTATAAGAAACGATTTATGAATTTCATTCAGTCCCTTCTTTGGCATCTGACAGAAGTATGTGCTTTTGCTCCTTTAACCTGTTGCAATGCTGTATAGGCAAATTTCCTAATGTTCGTTCATATTTGCATTCCTGTGCCAAATCTTACTGTTCATGTTGTATTGTTAACTTAAATAATTACTGACTAAATTCTGCTTATATTTTACATGGATTTTTTTTCCATTTGTATTCATACATAAAATTATTCTATGATTGTCTCTTTTGGGTTTGCCGTCTTCAGATTTTGAATCTCCATCTCAGTTGTCCATTGCTGTTCAAATTATTCCAGAATTGAGTAGTTTAAATCAATGAAGATAAAACATTTACCACTTCTTTTGCTGTCTGTGGGTCAGGAACAGAATGAATGGAAGTGCCTCACAGCCTCTTCCCAGGTAAAAGTCAAGACAGAAGCATAAGCTGTAGTGAAGGCTACCATCTTCTAAACATGGCAGCTGTTATCACTCAAAAGAAATCAAAGACAAAGTGGAGCAAGCCACAATGCATTATCTAGCAGGAGAATTAGGATCAATTTTTTAATAGAGGGATTAAAAAAAAGTTTTGTGGACATATTTTAAAAGTACTATATCATCCTTTTTTTATATCAGAAATACTGGAATATAAAAAGTATTTGCGCTTCAAAGACAACATAGAAATTAGCTGTATAATCACCTGGATATGATACCTTTATAAACAATAGACCTTCAAGAATTCCAAAAACATGGACTACAATTGACCATTGTTTACAATGAACAATAAAATCCCCATAAGTCCCTGATGGACATTTCCATGCCTCTGAATAGGATAAAATGCCTCTGTACAATATTAGCAGGAGCAGGAGCCTTTTTTTAAAAAGACTGAATTAATGTGAGAAATCCTAAACTGCAATCTGTAAGGAAATCTCTGCTGTATGACTGTTGGAATATCCAACAAATTGGTTTGAAAAGAAAAATAATGAGGTAGAACAATAAATACTTAATGATAAAAATTAAAATCTTGGAAAGTATGAGGCAGTATAAAAATATGAGAAAATAATAGTCTAAAAAAACATGAGATTTTAATTTGGGTGAAAAGATAAAAGCTAACAATAGCTTATTTGATGTATAGAATTTAAGACTGAATAACTGTAAAATAAAAGTACAATGTGGAAAATGTAAGATAACAGGTTAAAAGCCTCAGGTATGTCAAAGAAGAAACTAAATAGAACAACTTATTCATGAAGAAATATAAGGAGATTCTTGAAGTGTGTACAAATACACTGGTAATTACAGCAGACCTATATTCAGAGTGCTTATTTATAAATCAATTTATTCAAGAAATTGTCACTGAATGTCCTTGGGCTGGGCACCAATGTTGGCATGGGGGGGAGGTGGTATAAGACTACAATTCTTGACCTCCTGGTTTCTTTCAGTCAAGAAGCAAGAGTAATGTTAATGCCATTGTGACATATCATGAAGTTAAGGAACAGTTTATAATAGTACACTTTAATGTGACACCAAATGCGGAGTTTAGGGTCTCCAAAGCCACCCCCAGATTTGATAATTCACTAAAATTCACAGAACTCAGTAAAAGCTATCATATTTAAGATTACAGTTAGTGACAACAACAGGATACAGATTAAAATCAGCCAAGTGAATAGACAGAGCAGTAAGAGAGTTCCAAATGCAGTATCATCTATAGGCAATAAGAGAAGGCAACATGGTGCGATGTGGATTACTGACAACCAGGAAAACTGCTGCAGCTTTGGTGTCTAGACTCTTTACTAGGCCTCTATTACATGAAAGACTGCTTATGTGTCTGGCTTTTCATCTTCAGTCTCTCCAGAGGGCAGGTAGATATGGCATGGCTCAAGCCCCCACCATAGATCATCTCGTTAAATTATCTGGAACAGCCTAGGGTCCCTGGTAAACACAAACTCTCAACAGGCAGGACATCTGTAAACCCTGGAGATCACCTCCTAGCCAAGGACAAAAGCCATGCTGCTCTTTGGATAATGTGAACTCTCTACAAATAGTCATAAGTCAAACTGTGTTCTCAATTTTTAATTAGATATATAGCATTAATCATAATGAACTGTACACCTATTTGGTTTTTGATTGTTCTATCCCATTATTGTATTGTCTGCCTTTGTTTTCATTTTGTTTGGCAGTACTGGAGACTGAACCCAGAGTCCTTGCACTGAGCTACATCCTCAGGCCTTTATTTTAATTTCTGTATTAAATTTTGAGTCAGAATCTTCATAAGTCCCTAAGTTGCCCAGGCAGGACTCAAACATGAAAGTTGTTCTGCTACATCCCTCAAGAGTGGTAGGATTACAGAAGTATGCCACCACACCCAACATATTATAGATATTTAGATCAACTGTAGACCTAGAAGCTATGAGAAAATTTCTCATTGATTTTTTTTTTTTTTTTTTTTTTTTTGTAGTTTACTCAGATGAGCACCTTCAACAGTATCCTCCTTTATTTGCACTCCCTAACTCTCCTTCTAGAAGAATATTTGGGAGACTAGAGATCAATTTTGGGCAAAGTTTGGAGATCTTGAACTTCATTTTGGTAGCTCAGACATTCTGTGCTGTATACAAAAAGAGCTCCCTTTTTTCATATGATTGGCAGCACTAACTCTACTGGCTTTTCCTTCCATAAACCATGAAGTTTGCCACACTGGTAGGGAACAGGGATTGTAGAAAAATAGATTGTATTTTTAAATTTTGTTTAACAATGTTAAACTACACTTTAGAAATACAAAACTGTTTTATAAACAACTGCAGGCTTGTGGCTATTTTTTTTAAAAACAGGTAGCATGAAGGGACAATGTGGCATAGATGGAAAAGACAAACTAGAACTTTGGGAAAGATCTTAGAGACGCAAAGAAAATCCTACAACAAAACGTGGAAGGAGAAAGGCTGAGAGAAAAGGGGGGATGAGTAAATTGATCTTTTCTTGTATTTGATGTCTTGGCTGTGTATAATACTTGTCATATAGTAACAGAAAGACTTTTCACATTTCTTGGGTTTTGAGTTGAGTGGATTGGTTAAAATGTCACAACTGGAAGGCTTTCACTGACCATCACATGTAAAATCCATCTTTCTCTCCCCATTCTTATTCTTAGCATTCTTCTTAATTGTAGTTAGCCTTAACAAGCAACTTGTTTATTGTTTACCTCTGCTTCCCATCCTTAAGACTGTTCTACAGGAGTAAGGACTTCATCTTTTTTGCTGGCTCCCTAATACTTAACAGTATTCTGTACATACAGAAGATGCTCAAAAGCTATTCACAGGGAGATATAACTGATTATTTAAAGTGCATATATGTCTATACCAACAGGGGAGGAAGACAAGGGTGAGGTGTCATAATGGTTCAATTGAGTAAGTAACCCAGAAAAAGGATCTTACTTTCCTCATCTATACAAGGAGGATAATAATAATAGGTCACTTCTCAGGACTATTTTAAGCTTTGAGATAATTCACATTAAGCTTCTAAAGCAATGATAGACATCTCGTAAGCACTTAGCAAGTGTTAGCAATTGCTATATTTTCGTTTTCACTGAGTTGAAATAAAAAACAATTATAGTTGGTGGCCAAATCTCTTCAGCTCAAAAACTGAAGGATAAGGATATCAGATTTTGAACTGTTCGATTGCCACTCAAAAAGGATACTTGAGGGAATTCAAAGTAAAATCACAATATTTAAAGTCCCTTAATTAAACATGATTTGAGCTACTATTTGTAAATGCTAGTAATGAGTAAGGTGAAGGTAACAGTGGAGTGGAGATTTCCTGGTAGACCATTATACAAGCACATGTAAAAACTACCCTCTTCTTTATATAGAAAATATTACTTCTGATGATAAAATGACACCTAAAATACATTCTTCTTATTTCTTGAATCAGGGGACAGGTGCACATGAATGCAGAGAAGGAATGACTTCATAAAGTGAAAATATGAATCTGTCCATAGAAGTTATGACATATGAAGTCTCATCTGCATAAGAATGATTGACTAGTGTGTATCTCCTACCCAAATTTATAACCTACCCTGGTTTGCTGCACATTAATTCATCAAAAGGATAATTGCCTGAGCACAAGAGATTAAATAAGATGTGGCTTTTTTATTTTTTGTTTGATTTACAAAACTAGGATTTTCTTTAGTAGTAGTAGTAGTAGTAGTAGTAGTAGTAGTAGTAGTACTATTACTATTATTAGACAGATCTTCCTAACTTGCTCTGGCTGAGCTCAAACTTGAAATCTTTCTACCTCAGCCTCCCAAGTGCTAAAATTACAGGCATGAACCAACGTGCTTGCTTAGAATTTTTACTTCTTTTACAGGCCTAGTTACCTGTAATTGATTATTTACCATGGACTAACCTTTCCACAAGAAGTTTGCATGAGAGGATAGCAGACAGTTTATAAATTAAACATGATTGATAAAATATGTGAGTTGGAATTCTGGCTTCATTGTTAATTCGAGTCTTTATTCTAGTCTTCTCTTTCTCCATATCTTGTCTGTCCATGTATGCATGCACCCATCCATCCATCCATCTACCTATCTTACCTTCACATTATTTTCTGGCATCAAGACCTAAATGAGTTAAACCCTAAGCACTGTTGGAGCTCTGGTAATGATTCTGATGGTAAAACAGCTTAGTTTAACCAAGCCACCATTTTGAGGTCACTTTCTGTATCTGAAGTAAAGGAAATGATACTTCGACGCAGTCTCAAACTTGAGTGCACACCAAATTTTCTAAAAGATTTTTATAATCACAGATTCCTGGGCACCACCTGCATAGTTTCTGACTCATTAGGTGTGGTGCAGGACCTCAGTTTGTATTTATAAACTACCTAGGTGACGCCAACGCTGCTGATCTGGCAACGTGTGGGTGGGACATAAAATTGTCTTTAACTGCTAATACCAAGTACCCACACAAACCCCAAAAGTTTGCAGCTTTAAACTGGACAAGAGAGGTCCTGGGAAAGTCAGTCCTCCTCGTGCGATTATCCAGGCTCAGGTTTAACAACAAATGGCTCTCTGATAGGACTGACTTGCTACGCCCCCTCACGCAGCCTCGCTGATAGGACTGTATTGCCACGCCTCTACACGCCAACGCTCTGATAGGGCCATCCTGCTATGCCCCCTCACGCCGTTCCCTGTGAGGTCTGTACGCTTCCTCCTCCTGGCTCGCGCTCCTGGACAGTCTCACCACGCCCCCTCACCCGGTCCTTACACTCT